TAAAAAATACAGTGAGAAAGCAACCCGAACGCAATCTAAGCCAGCATAAAAGAAATGTAGGCTTCCTAGTCCTGGATATTGCTTCTGGACACAAGTAACAAAGGAGGCCCATACGGTGAATAATTGACTGAAGGAAACTTTTCCACTTCGACTCCTCCTGCTACGTCACAGCCAGCGAAACCTTACCATCGGATTTTCTTTGGCCGTTGCAAATATTGGAATTAGAATCAGATTTTCTCCAACTCTCAAACACTAAATATCAGAGGTGCTGCAAGTGCATTCCAAATTCGATCTTGGTTATTTTTTGAAGGCTTGAAGTGCACAGATGTTGTTCGATGAAATGCTCATTAGAAGTTTTCATGGAATCCAGCGTTATTCTAGTGACTGTTGATCGAATTACTACCCGGACCTCTAATATCGTTGGCAGAACAGAGTGAAGCCCAGGACAGTTGCGTCAAGGTTGCTCCAACGCCACTTGAACCCCATTGTATTCATCTTGCCGAATCATCATTCTCCGGTTGCGGTTTTTCCATTCGCTCATCTAAGTAGGGATCATCGTGCGCTTCCTCTTAGCACGATTGATTTCCTTTACAAAGCTCCTCTGTATTGTATATATATTTATATTATAAAAGTTGTTAATTTTTTTGTTTCCATTATTGAAAAGCTGGAGATTCCTTTACCTTTGTATTTTTTTCATTATATAGATATGGATATACATATAGACACATATGGTTTTCAATTTATTAAGGTAACCTTCATTGCCTGAGTTACATTGCTATATGGGCAGGAGAGAGCTTCATTTACTAAATGTCTAAAAATTATGGTATAAATAGCTCGTGATCTTTTTGAAGTATACGGATCAGAAAAGATGATTCCTTTTAAAAGCTCAAGGGACTTGAAAATCTCGTTCGGCCCATTCAACGCATTTTCCCAAAGGAGATGATCGGAAAAAACCAGTTGTTTCGGCTCAGGTTCGCTTAGAAACAAGAACGAGATCTCAAACTAGACAAGCTTATGACCCACCTCAACAAACTCAAAACCATTCTTAAAATCCAACAGCTCATTTCCCACCGAAAGCGAGGCCCCTTTGTCTCCATACAACTGATGTCCCATTGGAGAAACATTGTTGGACTTAATGTGGGCATGGGTGTCTTTCTTCACTTCACGAGTATCCCCATGTTTTTGAAGTATTTAAGCACCCACTCAGAAAGAATATTTGCTGCAGATTAACCACAAGATATAGGGATTTGATTGATGAGGGAAAAAGGGCTATGAAAGAATAGGAATCAGAATTAGTAAGGAGAATAAAGCACGTTGTTAAAATACTGCAATTCCAGAAGTTGTGTGTCTAGTTGATCGCAAACAGTGAGAAGCAGGGTAGAAAATGCAAAACACCAGAATCTCAAACCCGAAATGGAATTAACTTTTATGCTTAAAATTTTGATATAATGTTCAACATGATCAAAATTGTAGATCTATTAAGGGAACATATGATTGCAAAGACAGACAAACCCTGACAAACTTTCTGGTTTAGGCTTACGTAAGAAAAAGCCACTGAAGAAATAAGGGTTCAATGTGCACAGCAGACCAAACATTTGTCATGGAAGATATTTCAAGCACAAATTAATTGAGCCTGTAACATTACAGATATTTCAAGCACACGTTAATGGCACCTACATGTAATTGCTGGATTCATTGTCCATTCATTTAAATTCAAGGAATTGATGAATTTCTGCTGCAAATTTCTGGAACAACTTCAGAACAAAAAGTGTACTTACCAATAGACAAGGCTTATAACAGAAGACACCAATTCACATTTAAATAATATTCTATCAAGATGAGAACATACTTCCTAGTTGCAAACTTCAGCCTTAGTTACAGATTTCGAAATAGTAATCAAATAAAAGATCCTATCAGAACTAACTCCATAAAGGTTGTGCAAGAATAAGAAAAGATGGATGTCTATACTGGTAATCTTGCACCTCAAATGCCGCCATCAGTTGAGGACCATATCACTGAAGAATTGCTAAATCTGTTCATGAGGATCAACAACTTAAAGAGAGGACCACTCGTTGGTTTGGATCTCCAATGAGAAAATAAGCCTCAATCTTCAAGATTTTGAATTCAAAGCAGGAGAATTTCCTTGCCTACAATTTTTCTAAGAAAATATATGAACAAATTAGAGCTAAACAAAAAAAAAAATTAAAAGAAAAAATAAATCATACTCAAAATCTAAATGCGGATGGTGGAGAGAAAAAACCTTAAAATAAAATAAAAAAAAGAAAGCTTTTGGTTATCACCCTTGCTAGGCTTCACTCCTTCAAGCTTTACACTCAGTGTGTCCAAGCAATACTCTGTTTCTTTTCCCTTATGCATTGGTTGACTATTATGGTGATGGCTACTAGAGACTATTTTGATGCTGAAGAATCATGAAGATAACAAAGGACCTGATTTTTAAATAAAAGATAAAAAGATGTGTCAATAAAGCACTCAATACAAATAAATATAGTGCTATCCAGTTGGAAAGGAAAAAAAAAAAAGAAAAAAAAAAGAACAAATAAATTTTTTCGAAAGAGAAACACAAGAAGGAATTCGAGGACTCATCTATTAATGAGAAACATGAACAGAGAGTAAGAAGAGAGAGACCTAGAAAAAGTTTCAGCTAAGAGAGTTTCAGGCATGGTGTGAAGTAGGGATTTAGTATTTACATACTTGCTTGGCTTGGAACCCTAAAGTCCTTTCAAGCACACATGAC